TTGCAATTTTACCCACAGGCCTTCTTTTCCAAGCCCGAGACAACCAACGTGCTGGAGCCGTACCAGGGCGGGGGGCAGGCGGGTGACCCCGGTGTCCCGCCGCCGTGCTGCCGCGCGCGCACCCCGGACCTGGAGGGCGACGCTGAGCAGGCAGGCCCGCCGCCGCCGGCCGGGCAGCCACCGGGCGACACGACCGGCGAGAGCCCCGGCGAGAACCACGACGCCGCGCCGGCCGCCCTGCCGGCCGTGGGCAGGGGCAGCGTCGTCTCCATCAGCGACGGCAACTTCTCGTGGAGCTCCGGACACGTGCTCAACTTCAACGACGTCGCCGTCCCGAAAGGTACTTGTAAGCGCGTGTGCGTAGGTGTGATCGTGCACGGAACGGAAATAACAATAAGTTACTCTCTCCAGGCGGCGTGACCCTGGTGGTCGGCGCCATCGGCAGCGGCAAGACGTCCCTGCTGCTCGCCCTGCTGGGCGAGATGAGCTCCTCTGACGGCCGATACCCCGTGCGCTGGAGCCAGTGAGTACTGAGTTGTCGAGCTAACACGTAAACGGCAAACGTAAGACGACCGCCGCGGGTTAGCTGTCCCAAGTTATCGAGATGGGTTTTGTTTCTGCGTGTGAAATCGATACAAAACTCTTAACTTTGTCTCTGAGCCTGACACCCTCCCCGTCCGCAGGGACTCCTCCGTCGCCTACTGCTCGCAGAAGCCGTGGCTGCTCAACGCCAACGTGCGCGAGAACGTGCTGTTCGGGCTGCCGCTGCGGCGCCGGCGCTACGCCGAGGTGATCGCGGCCTGCGCCCTGCAGCCCGACCTGGACATCCTGCCCGCGCACGACCTGACGGACATCGGGGAGAGGGGCATCAACCTGTCGGGCGGGCAGAAGCACCGCGTCGCAATCGCCCGGGCGCTGTACTCGGACGCCACCACGGTCCTCATGGTGCGTAGACATCCGCGACCTGCCCGACCTGGCAGTGGCAGCCGACGAGTACCCTAGTCCCAAAATGAGTATACAACGTGTTAGCCAGTTTTCTCGAGCTGGGCGCGAGTATCCTCCCCATCGTCTTCGGCTCAACCGTCCCTCTCGCGTGCACAGGACGACCCGCTGTCGGCGCTCGACTACCAGGTGGGGCAGCACCTCGTGGAGGAGGGCTTCCAGAAGCTGCTGTTGCAGCGCGGCCGGACGCTCATCCTCGCCACGCACTGCCTCTCCCTGCTGGGCCAAGCGGATTGGGTGAGTCGAAGCTCGGCCCCGAATAACGTTTTTAAGAGTGATATGTACTTTTTTTTCTCAAGTACATTGTTGAATGGTGTCTTTCCATTTTTCGCTGCCGATAAAATTTCGGTCACTACATCTCTGTCGACTCGTCGGTCCAGATCATCGTGATGGAGCGCGGGCGGGTGTCGGTGCAAGGCAGCCTCGGCAAGGTGCAGGCGGAGCGCCCCGACCTGGCGCAGTCGTGGCAGCAGGACCTGCAGCAGGAGCCGCAGCAGGAGCCGCAGCAGGAGCGGAGCGCGGCGGCGCCGGCCCGGCCGCAGGACGCGGCGGCCTCCAGCCTGGCCTCCAGCCTGGCCTCCAGCCTAGCGCGCGGGGACCGCACGGCCCGCGAGCGCTGGCAGCTGGTGCGGCTTGTGTCGCGCATCGGCCTGCAGCAGCGCGCCGAGGACCACGCCCACCACGCGCCGCGACACTTCCGAGTGAGTAGTCTCGGCGAGCTGGTGTCCCCCGCACTGTAAGAGCGTCTAGTTTGACTATCTGTGTCCTTCGCAGCGCTTCAGCCGTCGCCAGTCGCGCTCCCTGTACCGGGCGACGCACTGCGCCACGCACGCCTTCCCGCTGCCGGTCCACGAGTACCAGCAGCAGGGCCTCCTCCACCACCCGGACGGCGTGGGCGGCGGCGGGCCCGAGGACGGCGCGGCGTGGACGCGGCCGCTGCGCCGCACCCGGAGCACCATCGCGTCGGCGCCGGATGTGTGGCGCCGCAAGGTGACGCGCGTCGCCTCGCTGCAGCCCCACGACACGGCGCGCAGGCCCTGGCCGCGGCGCCAGCAGGCGTGGTCCGAGGGGTACGCCACTCGGCCCTCGACTAAGCCAGCGATTTACTTGAAATTGCGTTGACCCCTGTTGTCTTTTACCGTTACTTCGTCTTCCGCAGGGCCGATGACGGCAAGGGCGTGGTCATGGTGTCCAACTTCGCCAACAATAACAATATCGTGGTCCCCGTCGATGAGGTGCTGAGTCACTCACGGAGGTGAGGGTTGTGCCGTTGACGTTGACGTCAAGCCGTGAGATTTCTTTTCGCTGAACGGTTTATATTTTGTTCAATTTAGGGGGTCGAGTGCCACGGAAGACCCCACATTCCCACAGAGCTTCTCTTTCCTGCCGGAAGTGGATGGCGAGGATAGCGTTATTGCGGAGTCGGGTACGATTTTGTTGACTTTCTTCACATAACCCTTTTCTCAAGACTTTTTGGTGGCGCTCGATAGCAGCACTTTTCCCATGAGCAGATCGTTTCTTCGACCCTTTTTTGTCCGATCTCGGCAAAATGGTGGTACCTCAAAAATAATAGTAAAAATTACCCACTCATTTCCAAAGTAAGCTGAGTGTGTTTTCACGGTCGTAAGGCAAGCAAAGAATGCGCGTCTCGCTACAACAATTTTTCGGGTCAGCGAAATGTATCATTAAAACAGGGGTGGGATAAAGAAAGTACTCCCACATTTTTAATTTTAATTTTTGTTCGGGTAGACGCGAGGGGCGTGAGCATTTACGAGGCCAAACTGGCTTATGTCTAAAGTCGGGTCGATGCTGCCTGTGGCCGTGGCCGTCTCAACTCCCATTTATTTATTTTTTGTCGCCTTTTGTCCCCCGCACCGGGTGATTCAGAGAAGACGCAGGTGTGGGCGGGTTTGCCTACTCGCTGAGCCCGCAACCCGCTGGCGCAATGGCCCCCTAGGAAGACAAACCAGCTCGCTCTTGTGTCTTCGCTGGATCACTCAGTACGGCAGGAGGGCAGGACCGAGTTCTGAACTATGGAGAGATAGGAGGCGATGGCAGCGGAGCGGTCAGCATAATAGGGTATGGCCCCTTGTCTCAAACGGCCAAGGGATCGACTACCACGGCCGCCACAAACTTTTTCTTTCCCATGTTTCTTGTCTGCATGCTACTGCGTGAACCATCTCAAACTGTCGGCCCGAAGATCGACTCCCGGTCGGGGCAACCTTTTTTTTTTTTTTTTTTTTACGCTTCTTGTCGCCTGTAAGAAAGGACCGACTTTCGAACTCAGCTAAACACGGCGCAGCTGGTAGCTGAGCGTGGTAAGGCGTGGGCACCGCTCTCAACAATCAGCTTTGGGATCGACTCCTACCCGAGGCACACCCTTTTTTTTGTCGCTTCTTGTCTCCCGTAAAACAGGACTGAGTTCTGAACTCATCACCGACAGGAGGACCCGACAGCCGAGTGGCGAGCGAGCCGACGAGTCATCCCTTCGACACCATCGGGCCCGGTATCAAATCCTAGTCGGCGCGAGTACTTTTGGGGGACCTGCTGGCTGAGAAAGCGGTCCAGTCCATCGTGTGCATCCGAATCAACTGAGCGGGCCTAGAGCGAGATGAGGAGGTCGACTTGACCACCTACTCAGCAAGTGCCCCCCCCCCCCAAAAAAAAACAACAAAAAAAAACAAGATTCGCCCCGACCAGCAGTCGAATCCTCAGCCAACGGTACCCCGTGGACCACGCCCCGGCACGCTAGCCACTCGGCTGTGGGCCACTTTGTCGGTGGCGAGTTCAGGACTCGGTCCTGCTCTACGGGTCTTGGTCTCCCGTCATGCAGGCGGTCAAGTCCACCTCTTCGACGCGCTGCAGCCCGGGTCGGATACCTCGGAAAAAGTTCAAAAAGTGCGCTTTTTGAAGATTCGAAGCGCGCGGAACACGCCTTGAGTGAACTTTTTCCGTGGTATCCGACCCGGGCTGCAGCGCGTCGAAGAGGTGGACTTGACCGCCTGCATTACAGAAGAGCAAGGGCCTGGAAAGCGGGACCCAGTTCTGAACTCTCGAGCGACAGCTGGAGCCGACAGCCGAGTGGCGAGCGTGCTGGGTCTTGGTCCACGGGCCCCCGCCTGGCGAGGGTTCGTTTACTGGTCGAGGCGAACACTTTTTGCGGGGCCTGCTGAGTATGTGGTCAGTCAGGTCCACTGCAGACAGACGCACAAGCGGACACGTCCCCCCCCACGAGCAGTCAGTGGCCGAGTGTGTTTAAGCGTAGACAACTGACTGCAGTGGCGTGGGATCGACTCCCGGTCGGGGCACGCTGTGTGCCAACCTTTTCAAATACCAGTTTTACAACAAAAAAGAAGCAAGTTGCGTTGATGCGTGTGCTTCGGCCCCGGATCGAATCCAGGCCTTGGCTGAATATTTGGGGGTTTGTTCCAGGTGGCCTGTAGAGACATAGGCAGACGCGGACATTGTCTCCCCTCCGGCAGTCAGTGGCCGAGTGGGTAAAGGCGTCTGTCTGTGACTGATCTCTTCGGTGTGGGAACGACTCCCACCCGAAGCGGGCGGTCCATCACTTTTCTCGCTCCTTCGCTCTCCATTACGAAGGGGCGAACGCACAAACAAGACTCTCGCAGCGACTCACAGTAACGTGGCGCTGTAGCTGAGTCGGT